GTAATTATTTATGCTAATTTTTGTTTCTTATAAAATAGTACGTTTACTCTCCCCAAAAAAGGTCGATTTGTTGTGATTAATGATCCACAGTTATTAGAACATATGCTCAAAAGTATGCTTTCATATTAAATTGAACATTAAAATTAATGGTTACATTTTATTAACTGCCTGTTTACAACATTAGCGAATTTTGAATGTTTTGAAAAAGGTGACATTTTACATGAATTATTATATGATCTATTCGGTGATGGAATATTTGCTGTTGATAGGTTTGTTTAATATTTTCAATATACATTCGATTTTCTCTAAGTAAGCTACCTATAAGTGTGACCCTAATAAATTCACCCTGGTTATAACGGCATTTAAATTCTTGAACCTATATGCTTAGGGAAGTAACGTTTATTACGTAATTTTAGGAGGGAGGAGGGGTTAGCAACCTCTCACATCTATACTTTGTAGATAAACAAAGTGACTGGCTGCTAATTTGATCACCTAGGAGGGAGAGGGTCTGGCCCTCTAGTAAAAAGAAATTACGTAATAAACGGAACTTCCCTTAATATGAAAAGACACTAGATAATTTTTGTTTCGGAGATGTCAGAATGATGCGTGTTAAATTTAAAGTTCTAGCAAGTTTCACTTAGAAAAGTTGACTGCATATTTAAATTTATCTTTCCATGAATTAAACACTGTACTAATATTTTATTCATATTTTACAAAAGATATCAGTGGAAATTTCAAAGAAGAATATTAAGTCATCTATTTCAAGAAAGAAATTTTAGAGACTTTATATGCCCGAGCATGGTAGAAAAGTCTAAGACTGTATTAGACATTTTACGGAAATGTGCTGATAATGGAAAACCAATTGATTTACAAGATTTATTTTATAGATTCACTTTGGATACCTTGGGAGAGTAAGTTTTCATTATCGCTTTCGATAATAATTAATTTTATAAAATCTTTTATGCTAATCATCTTTTTTAATAAATATAAATATTTATATATATTTAAAGCGTTTTCTTCAGTGTAGATTTTGGTTGTTTAACATCCCCTGAAAAACCAGTTCATTTTGCCATTGACTTTGATAATGCCCAAAAGATTATAGATTGGCGATGGGAACAACCTTTATGGAAATATATTGAATTATACAGCGAAAAAGGCAGACAAATACGTAAATCTTGCAAAAATCTTGATAGTTATGTATATAATATGATAAATAACCGTAGAGCAGACATTGAAGCCGAAAAAAAAAACAAATGATTTGTTAACTTTGTTTATTAATGCTGTTGACAAGGATGGGTAGAAACTTAATGATAGAGAATTAAGGGATGTCATTTTGAATCTCATTATTGCTGGTATGTTTCAATGTGAAGAAATATGTGAATTCCATTAAATGCTTTGTTAATGCTTTGTTATTTTATATTTCTCTAATGCTTTTTCTGATATTTAGGTCGGGATACCACAGCACAAGTAAGATTTATTAACTATATAATTACAAATATAATATATTTGAAAAATAATATATATACTACGCATACTTACATCATGATGTGATAATAGGCACTATCTTGGATGATGTATTCTATAATGGCAAATCCATCCGTTGAGGATTCTTTACTAAAAGAAATTAATTCTATTCTTTCTCCAAACACTCCAATTCCATCATATAACGATATCAAACAATTTAAATATGCAAACGCAACATTTTCTGAAACTTTGCGATTATATCCTAGCGTTCCAAAAAATGGCAAGGTAGATAGATTCATAAAGCGTGATGAATATTTTTTATTAAACTTTAGAATGTCATATTTATTCTAAATTTTTTTTTTCAAAAAGGTTTGTGTTAAAGATAACATCCTACCAAATGGCGTCCCTGTATATGCCAACGAATTTGTGGTATTTATTCCTTGGGCAATGGGAAGAGATAAAAAAATATGGGGAGAAGATGCAGAAGTCTTTAAACCTCAAAGATTTTTAAGTTCTGAAGAAATGTCGAAAACAAACCAATTTAAGTTTATTGCGTTTCATGCTGGACCTAGAACCTGGTAAAATGTTTAATGTGCTTTTTTTTTTTTTTTTTTCTTTAATTCTCTATTTAACCTTTTTAATAAATAGTTTGGGGCAACAATTCGCAACTGTCGAAGTAATAATTCTTGTAACGATGATGCTAAGAGAGTTTAAATTTGAATTAGCTCCTGGCCAAAAATCTCCACCTGAATTTCAAAGGTCTATCACATTGCCTATGAAAGAACCGTTAATGGCTAAAGTGTCGCGTAGATTTTAAAAGCTCACATTTACTAAAAGATCTTCACCTAAAATCTTAATTATTCTATGAATCTATTTCATATTGGCAGATGCCAATATCTATATACTGTATATGTGCTGTTCGTCGAAATAGAATATCAATAAATTTAGAATCCACTGAAATGGATTCTAAATGTACTTAAAT